TAAAAAAGGAGCTAATTAACCTTTCATCTTCTATGCCATTTTGCTTGTCAAGATTTTCAGTCCAGCCTCATTAGTGAAACTGGCAATAATCCCCCAAAAAACAAAATATGAACATATCTCTATCGCTGGTTAACACTTACCCCCGCTCAAATTTTTAGTCTCACAAGAGGATTTTATCAAGTATCAGCAAATATTCCGCCCAGCATTGGATTTTCCTGAAGCTGCTCCTTTTTCCACCTTAACTGTTCAATCCCCAAATTAAAACAACAGCGCAGCAGAGCAAATCTGGGGATCTGATGACGACTCTCAACATTGGTGTCATTTATCCTAACCCTCCAGACCCTGGTTGTTTAAGGAGACCATTAGAAATGCAGCTTTTTATTCTTTTTTTTTTTTTTTTTTAAATCTTAGCTCTTCGGGCACCAGGAAAAAAATCCATGAAAACAGGATGCCGAAAGGGCAGGGAAAATAAAGAACCCCAAATGAATTGTTTTAAGACATCTTGATGGTATGCTAATTTCTGGCCATTTTTAACAGGGTGTACTCAGGAATACATAGGCTAGTTGATAGTGTTACGTCTCTGTCATGTACAAGCGCCCTACGTGGATAGCTCTCAGCTTTTTCAGAGCCACGTCCCGCCTTAGAAAATCCCAACTCTTAGTTTTCCACTCGTTTTTTGACTCCAGAAGAATAACAGAGTGATTCCTCTGTTGCAAAGCAGAGCAGGGTTTGACGCTCTGAATTGCTACTGGAAATCTCTGGGGTTGTCTCGAGGTTCACTGTAGGTGCTGGCACACCTCACCATGCTAGCAGCGTGCAACACCCCTACAAGGGTCCCGTGGCACTCTGGTTGAGCATCGCTGAGTTATACAGCTGCAGCACAAAACAAAAGCCACCAAAACGGTTGCAGAGTTCAAAGCCTCGTCTCCACGGATTGGGCCGTGAGCAGTGTCTGGGCCTGAAATTAAAATTTCTTTTCATCCTTTCCCCATCTCAGAAGCCCGGAGTCTCTTAGGCATCAGGAAATGCTCACAGCCTGCTTTGTTCTCAGTGGAAACTGCTGGCTGAGAGCACTAGGGAACGTAGGTACCAGGATGCGCCGCAGTCAGTGCCGGGGAGGCGTCCAGCCCTCGCCCTGCTTCTTGGGTCATCATTTGTATTAATTAAAGACCCATTTGTGGAGTGAATGGGCCCCAGCGCTGTTCTGGCTGGCAGGGGTCCGGTGCAATGAGGCAGGTGGGTAGTGACCTGGCAGGGTATTAGGGTACCCCTGTGAGCCACTCTCCTTGCCCTCTGTTCAGGTCAAAGTGCCCTGCTCCGATTCGGGACAGGAAGCTGGCATGGGCCAGGAGAGGCCAGGCCAGGCCTGGCCGAATGACTGATAGGGCTGTTCTGGTCCGATTCTCCAACAGGATCTCATGATTCATCCCCCACATCACGGCTACAAAGCAGCTTGTTTGAGCAGAGCCCAGACATCCCCCTGCCCCAGGACCCCTGGGTAAAGAGCAGAGAGACCTGCGGGGACTAATATGTCACCTACAGTGCTTGGCTCCCACAATTTGGGTGTAAAAGGGGCCACTTGCATGTTGGCCTCACCTTTAAATACAGGGAAACTGAGGCACAGCAGAGGAGAATGATTTCTATTATTCCAGGAGAATATGGGATCAGAACCCAGGCGCCCTGGTTTTTAGGCCCCATCAGGCCTTCGCAGTACGTGGCCATCCCATGCCAGCTCCAAATCTGGAAGGCAAAGGAGCAGGAACCCCAATTGTATTATTACCATACTCTCTCACAGATAGCATGCACTCCCCCACCCCCAACCCAGCTGCTATAAACTGGGCTGCGCATTATAGGCTGGTAAATACGGTGAAGGCAATTTCTGCCACTTCAGCTTTGGCTGGGGGAGAGCACAGGACTGGGGGAGAGCCCCATGTTTGGGTCACAGGGACCCATGTTTGGGTCACAGACTGGGCTCTCTGGCTGCTGCTCCTCAGTAACTTACTACAAGGAGAGAGATTGTCTTCGTGCTGCCTTTCAAAAACCAGGTCCGTGCCTTATTCCAGGGCACGTTGTAGGCCGGAAAATACAGTATTATTATTTTTGAACCCCAAGGGTTTTAAGCCTGGCTCGCAGCTGGAGGAGGGGCAGGCTCAGAGCATCTAGGGACCCGACGGTGGCTGCCGCAGGGGAGCAAAGACACCTCCCAAAGACGTCACGAAAGGACAGAAAGATCCTGGGAACGGGGAAGCACTGGAAGGAGCTGGACAGGGAAGGGCAGATCTGGAATTATAAGAGGGGACGTCTGGGGCTGTCCTGGACACGACTGCAACCAAGCCTTCATTGAGCTGCGCTGCCATCCCCCATGGCTGGGCGTCCTCCAGAGCTGCCCTGTACAGTGCCTGGTGCTAGGGAGCCCCAATCCCACATGGGGAGCACCCAAGGCACTGCCCCATGCCCCAGCGTCCCTTCCTTGTTCTTGCTCTAGTTTGTTTAATTGGCAAAGTCCTGCAGACCGGGGTCTGATTTCCTGGGAGAAAACCCGTAGGAATGAGTTGAGATAGAGAACAGGGCCAATTCTCCTTGCCGTGTCCCAGCCCCCTCGGTGGCCCGGCCTGCTGTATATGGGCACAGGAGCCGGCCACGCCAGGCCCATTCTTTGAGCCTGGGGCTAAGTGTTGGTGTAACAGCCCTGCCTTGTCGGTGTCGGTGTAACAACCCTCTTGGATCAACCAGCCGAACAGCTCTGCTCCCCACGAGGTGGCCGATGCTAGTGTGGCAAGTGGCGGGGTGGTCACAGCACAGGAAGCCCCTGCAGAAGGGCAGGGGGAGAGGAGCCCCCCATGTAGCCAGCTGCAGAGAAACAGAGGGGTGAGATGCAGTCAGGTTCGAAACGGGGATTTCTCAGCTCAGCTGATTTGGGGGGGATCTCCTGGAAAAGAAACAGGGGCCAAAACGTCCAGTTCCCCCAGAACAAGACAGGAGAAACCTCATCCGGGGATGCCCCCCAGCCCTGGTGGATGCTGTGGGGACCGAGGGCTGCAGCCGCGGCTGGGGAGGGTTATCCAGCTGCAGCTCGAGCAGCAGGGCAGACTCCCATGAAAAGGCCAAGTGACCCTGCCAGGCACGGAGGTGGCCGAGGTCAGGAGCGACCACGTCTGGCATGAAACAAACCTCTTCCCCGATCAAAAGGGAGCTGAAATAGGGAGGCAGAGGAGCCAGGACACCTGGGCTCTATTGCTGGCACCGGGCGTATAGTCAGGGTGGGAGGCTGGGAGCCAGGACAACTGGGTTCTTCTCCTAGTACCAGGTAAGGAGTGTGATCCAGTGGTTAGAGCAGGGAGTCAGGACTCCTGGGTACATTTTCCTAGTAAACCAGCACATTGTTCAGTGGCTAGAGAAGAAGGATGAGGGAGCAGGGCGGATAGGAGTCAGGACTCCCGGGGTCTTTTCCTGGCACCAGGCGGGAGTACAGTGCAGTGGTTAGAGTAGAGAGGCAGGACTCCTGCGTTCTTTCCCTGGCACCCAGCACGTGGGTCAGTGGCTGGAGAAGGAGGGCGAGAGGTACCGGCAGGACTCCTGGGTCCTCTTCCGGGTGCCAGGAGGGAGTACAGTGCAGTGGTTAGAGTAGAGGCAGGACTCCTGGGTCCTTTCCTGGTGCCAGGCAGGAACATGATCTAGTAGCTGGGGGGTCTTTGGGGACAGTCTCCTGTCTCCTCGTGCAGCCCCAGAGATCCCCCTGCACAAGGCCGCGTCCCCTCACCCCGCTCTGCTGTGCTGTCCCCGCAGACGCCATGGGGCTGGCGGACCTGGGCCACGTGGAGAGCGTCCAGGAGAAGTCGCAGTGTGCGCTGGAGGAGTACGTCCGCACCCAGTACCCGAGCCAGCCCAGCCGCTTCGGCCGCCTGCTGCCATCCGCCTGCCTCCTGCGGCGCCCTCCCTCCCTGCGCCTCGTCTCGGCTCCCGTCATCGAGCAGCTCTTCTTCGTCCGTCTCGTGGGCAAGACCCCCATCGAGACCCTCATCCGGGACATGCTGCTCTCTGGCTCCAGCTTCAACTGGCCGTACATCCCCATGCAGTGAGGGGGAGCCCCGGCCCCTTCTTGATACCCGTTCCCTCCGGCCTGGGGCAGGAGGGGACACAGTGATGCTCTGGCCGGCGGTTGGAGGACTCACAGCCGGACAGTGCCTGGGGCACGGCCTCCGGGGAGCAGAACTGATGCTGGAGAGGAGGGGTGCTGAGTCTTAAAGGACCCCCCTGTCTGGCCCCAAGGGGCTGGCATAACCCCCTCGGCCTGCCCAGATCCCCGTCACGTGGAAACCCTGCCGCCGCCTGCATCCTTCGCTTCTGTTTGCTCTGTGTGCCCAAGCATCTGTTCCCCTCTCCCCCTCCCCATGCAGCCGCCGCATCCGACACCCCCATCTCCGTGCAGCTGAGACCCCCGCGGGGAGCGGGCACCAGCTCCAGCTCCTCCATCCCCCGTCTCTCCCGCCGACTGCATGGTTGGCAGCTGAGAACAGAGAACTCGTTACCCGAGTGGCCTTGATCATGGGACAAAGTTGATTTCTTCTTTTTTTTTTGTTTGGTTTTGGGGTGTCCATCAACAAAGGGGGAGGGTCTGGACTGGAGAGAAGAGACTCCCCCCTCAATAAACCAGTTGTTGCCTGTGTGTTGGGGCTTGGGGAGGTGGGGGGGGCTGGGACGGACACGGCCCCGGGAGCGTGGACTATTTATAAAATAAAATAAACCTCTATTCTATGCGACTTCTGTTGAAATGAATGTGTATATCCCTCCCCCCCCCTTTTTTAAGACCCTCCCTTATTGTTTGTGAAGAGCCGTGGCTGTGACTCGTGGATTTTGCAGGGGGAAACAAAGCCCCCCTCTGCCCCCCCTCGTTGGCGTTATCATTAAAATGACGATTGTTGAACTGGGTCCAGGTTTCCTTCTTCGCGCTGGAACGCCCCGGGGCTCGGCACGCCGGGCCGTCAGATGGGCCGGGAGCGGACAGATGGGCCGGAGAACGGGCCCGGCGACGACTGGCGGGGGGCGTCTGGATGGGACGGGTGGAGGGGATGCAGTTGGCAATGAAGCCTCTTATGTGCCTCCGTGTTGTGGCGGGTGGGCTTGAGGCCTGGGTGCGGCGATATGGGGGGCCTCGTGCTCTGCTGAGCCTGGATCCAGCTCCTGCGATGCAGCATCTAGGGGACTTAGGGATTGTTCCTGCTGCACATCCAGATCCATCGGCCCTGCGTGTCCACGGCAGGGGCGAAAACACCACGGCTGTGCCACGGATGTCCCATACCGGCAGCACCGTGTAGTACAGGTAACACATGTGAGTGATGGAAGAGCTGCCACAGACTGGGTCAGACCCTAGGTCCATCTTGCCTGGGCTCCGGTGTCACATGGGAGCAGAGAGCGGAGGCTGGAAGGGAGGGTGACCTGGTCTGAGCAGGGTTTGCCCCGGGGAGTTTGGATTCACAGGCCATGCCCCTCGCTCCTGTGCTAGCTCCCAGTGCCCCTTTCCTGCAAGAACAGGTCCAGCCCCTTTGTGAATCACGTTCAGCTTCCACCACATCTGGTGGCAACAAGTCCCACCCTTTAATTCTACATCCCTATTAGCCACATCGCAGTGACCGTGATAATGATATGGGGAGATCAATGTGGCCATAGCACTCAGCAGGGCAGCAGCAGGGATCAGGGGCCGGATTTGAGAAGACACAAAAAGACCAGCTCTATCCTGAAAGATACAGGCTTGATAGACACCAAGGCTGGAGGGGAAACTGAGGCACAGAGTGATTTGCTTGAGGATGCCGGCAGATCAGTGGCGAGAACCCAGGTGGCCCAAGGCTCAGTTCAGTGCCTCCTTCACTGCTAAGCAAATGCAGGGGAACAGCCCCGCTCCCAGTCCCAGCTGGAGGGGCAATGGATTTTACCACAGCAGAGCTCAGGATAGAGCCCAGGGCAGACAGACGTGGCTGCATGGCCCTGCCCCTCCATCCGGCTGCTCACTAGCCATCCTGCTCAGGGCCCCAGGGGCATAGAGAAGCCAGGTGGGAGGGTGCTGGGGTCCATCTAGCCGAGCCCCTGCCCTAGCCCAGCTGCTAGCATAGGTTGGCACTCTCAGGCTTTGACCCGAGTCCTCCAGCCATCCGGTGCTGGTGAGGCAAGACCCCCTCCGGAGCCCACAGCCCTGGGATTCCCTCCCGCCCCTCATCCCCACAGCATCATGTGTCCCCATACGGAGCTCAGAGACCCCCCAGTGATGGCCAGGCTGACCCAGACCGGCCCTTGAGATGGGACCCAGGATGCCTGGGTCCTTCCTCCTGCCAGACCTCAACTGAGCCCCTGCCCTTCTCCAGACCTCAGCCCTGTCCTGCCTCCGTCCATGAGCTTTCAAACGTCCCTCAACCATCCCGATCGCCACTGGGGCCCCCACATGCCAGGATTTCTGCCTCAAGTCGTCTCTGCCTGTGGAAACTGCATCCCCATAGAGGTAGGGCTAGTCAGTCTCCCTGTATCAGCAAGCCCTCCTCAGCCACCCCTGGCCTGGCCAAAAGGTTGAAGGGGGAAACTGAGGCATGAAAGGGTTTTTTTGCCCCAGGTCACCGGAAGATCAGGGGCACGAACCCAGGTGTACCAGGTCCAACTGCGCCCAGTGCCTCCCTTGCCCTTCGCACACTGCTAAGCAAATGCAGGGTAACAGCACAGCTCCCAGGTTCCCAGTCCCGGCCGAAAGGGCAATAGATCTTACCCCTCAGGGTAAACCTGGGGGCAGCCTGGGTTGGCTGTCGTGGCCCTGCCACCTTCATCTCCCTCCCCACCAGCATCTGAGAACGTGCAGGGATTTGCTAGGACCTCAGGAGGGGTGGAAAGGCCACTAGCCCTCATGCTTTAGGGCAGCACCTCCCAGGAGAGGTCAGAAAGCAACAGCCCTTGCAGGCGGGCTGTTCATTGCCCATTTCGTGGGAAGCAGTGGGCACTGCCTTGTGCCAGGGATGGAAAAGGGACTTGATTGAACCCCCCGGTAATCCAGTCTGGTAGAACAACGGTGCCCTTGCTGCCAAGAAGGCTAATGACAAAATGGGTTGCACTGGTAGACTGAGGGCAGCGATTCTTCCCCTCTATTCAGCACTGGGCCACGCCACGGCTGGAGACCTGTGTCCAGTTTTGGGCCCCCCGCTACAGAGAGGATGTAGGCAAGTTGGAGACAGTCCAGTGGAGGGCAACAAAAATGGTTTGGGAGCTAGGGGACATGACTTGTGAGGAGAGGCTGAGGGAACTGGGCTGATTTAGTCTGGAGAAGAGAAGACTGAGGGGGGATTTAATAGCAGCCTTCAACTCCCTGCAGGGTGCCTCCAAAGAGGATGGCACTGGACTGTTCTCAGTGGTGGCAGATGACAGAACAAGGAGCAATGGGCTCAAGCTGCAGCAAGGAAAGTTGAGGTTAGATATCAGGAAAAACTTTCTCACTAGGAGGGTGGAAGCACTGGAACAGACCCCCAGAGAAGTGATAGAGTCTCCATCTTTGGAGTTGTTTAAGACCCGGCTAGACAAAGCCTTGGCGGGATGATGTACTTGGGGCTGGTCCTGCTTTGAGCAGAGGGTTGGACTAGATGTGACCTCCTGAGGTCCCTCCAGCCTGAATTTCTATGATTCTATAACAGGTGAGATAGAAACCTGCTCCATCCCTTTTTTCTTCATCTTTTTCCCAGTGAAGCAGCAGGAGCAAAAGACAGTTTTCCTTGAAACCCAAGACAGGGGTGTGTGTGTGTGAGTGTGTGCGTGTGTGTGTGTGTGTGTGTGTGTGTGAGAGAGAGAGAGAGAGAGAGAGAGAGAGAGGAGGGGGACATTCAGGAGCTGACGATATTTTATTACAGGTTTTTAAAAGCCCATTAGAGAAAAGTCAAAAATGGCCTTTTCAAACCAAAGGACATGGGCCCGGCTTCATTTGACCCTTCTATAAATAATGGCCAAGGGAGGGGGGAATAATTTTAAACAAACATTCAAGGGCTTGAATTATGTACGTTCCTCAGATCAACAGGAAGAGAGGGAGAGAGAGTCAGGCTGGAATGAATTCAAGGACAAGCTGGAAAGGCCACTCGAAAAGTTATCGCCTGCGGAGAGAGAGATCTGATCCCTGAACGCAATCATCATCTGTAAGAAAGAGGGAGAGAAATAAAAGAAAAAAGGGCTTGATACTCAGGGAAGCTACAACTTCTTGACGCTTGTTGGAAGTTGCCTTGATGTTTCTTGGCCATGTAGAAGGATCCTGGTATCAATGAGCATCACACCCAGAGAGTCTCAGTGCTGGGAAGTTTGCACCTAGTCCCTCAAGGGACCTGTCCTGTAAAATTAATTGTCCCTCTCCTTCCCGCTGCCAGCGCTCAGATCTAATCCAAGAAACAAGGAAGAGCCCGTCCCACCAAAACTAAGTACTCACAACCAGAAAGGTAGATGGATTTTATATTGTTTATTTCACTATTAAATTGGCTATTAACTGAGCAGGAGGAGTAAGGCATGTTGAGCACCTGATGGAACCAGTGGTTCTCAGTCTTTTTTAGACTCAAGGCACCCCTCAGAAAATGCCAGATGGTAGTTTTCCCTTGATTTTTGACTATGGAAAAAATACAGCATGTCTTCTGTTTCAAAAAAACTCAGAAAGGCCACAACAGGTCTGAATACTTTGAACCCTATGGACTCCTCTTTGAAATCTCTGAGTTTATTTTGCGAATCACATTTGCGCGCTTGACCGACCGTGCTAACCTTGTGTGGCATCCTTGAGAGGATCTCATGGCACCCTTGAGAGGGTCACTGGGTTAAACATTTATAAAGTGCACATTTATCTAAATGCATAACATTTCTGATAGCCAATCAGATTAAGATTCATTGGCTTTAAAAAAAAAAAAAAAAAAGGCTCTAACAGGTGGCCCAGCCTGATAGGGTAAAGGATTTGTCTCTTAGCTTTCAAATGAGGCTTTAAAAGAGCTTGTGTCTTAGTTCATCTACAGATGGGCTGCTCGGCAAGAACTGTAGTTGGAAGTTTGAGAGAGAAGATTCCAAGATGAACCCTGATTTTATACTCTGTGGCTTGGCTAAAGTATCAGAAAGCTTCCTAAATAAGGTAAAATATATATTACACACACTATTTCTATCTATACATGCACACACACTATATCTGTCTATCCATCCATCCTCACACAATATCTATCTATCCATCCATCCATGCACACATGCATTATTACTATCTATACATCAAAACACATACACACTATGTCTATATATCCACCCATCCTCACACAATATCTATCTATTCTATCTATTCATGCGCACACATTCTATACCTGTCGGTCCATCCATCCATCCTCACACTATATCTATTAATCCATCCATTCATCCATCTATCCATCCACACACACACACCAGATGTCTGCCTATCCATCCATCCTCATGCTATAACTATCTATCTACACACACACTATATCCATCCATCCATCCATCCATCCATCCTCATGCTATATCTATCTACACATCTGCACACACACACTATATCCATCCATCCATCCTCATGCTATATCTATCTACACACAGTATCTATCTACACACACACTATATCCATCCACCCGCACTATATCTTATCCATCTACAAACATGCTATATCTAGCTATGCACACACACTTTATCTAGCTATAATATTTTATATGATATATTATAATAACTTTCCTAATAGGTGCTACTCTAATTAGAATTCATCTGCTTCTTCTTATGCCCTATATAAGCTATATCTTATCTAACATTAGCCTTGTCTGGCATCAGACCACTAAATGCACTCAAGGCAACCTTCTAACCTTGACCCTAGTTCTTTTCGATCCATCTTCCTTATGCTATCTAAAAATGGCTCACATCTTGCGACATCCTCTGGCCTAATCACTTCCTTTGCCTCTTCTTCTCTTACTCCAACTTTGGTTCAGCAAATGCTATCCCATATCACTGCTAAGCAACTTAAGGCCTACTGTAGCCTACCCAGGAGTTATCATAGACAAGAGGGGAAGGGACCTCAAGAGGTCCTCTTGTTAGCTGTGTTGATCTGAACTCGGGTAGAGACTTCCAGCAAGGGCCAAAGGTGGCTGATGAGTCTTTATAACAAAAAGATGAACCTCCATCTTTAGACACAAGAAGTTCCTTCAGCTCATGCGTCAGGTAAAGCGATCACATTTCCATCAAAGTCAGTTCCATCAAAGTCGGTGGAACGGAGGTTTTGCCTTGCAAACAAAACAGAGAGCCAAGTGTGGGGGCGGGGGAATCAAGAGATAAAAAAGCCACTTTTAAATATTCAAGTGCCTATTAGTAAAGTAGAAGGGGCTTTTTATTATTATTATTCCTTTAGCGCACATCAAAATGCATTCGGGGTTTGGTTTTTTTCTTCTTAATAGTTGATAATATGTCCAGAGAAAGTATAAAATTGCTGTCTTCTGCTATCCACCTGGGGCTGGTTGAATTGTCAGCTCCCCAGTGTCTCCTCAATTTGCATCTAAAAGCAACCAACCTCTCCCCGTGGCTTGTCAGCTCACGCAAAAAACTTTGCTTCCCTTCGTCCTAATGGTCCCTGTCAGGCTTTTATGGAGCTGGCTCTCGGCGCCAAGCGATAATAGAGTAACCCGCGCTCATAATTAGCACATCTTCAGGACATCAGAAAGGAAGAGAAGGATAGAGAGAGAGAGAAGGGAAAAAATACCCATCAAATAAACACGTGCAATTTCAGGGAGCTTAAAAAGCCTCCATTTGATGCCTTGCAATTGCTCAGGTGATAAAACGCCTGCAGGAAGGCAGCATTATCCATCCCCAGCACTGGGCTGGGGAATTGGGAAGGGGAAGAAGGGCAGCTCTGCTTCGGGATCTGGTCCTGGATATGAAATGGGGAACACGCCAGGGTTCAAGCTGGATGCGGAGGATGTGCAGATCCCCCTGGGTCCTGTACCCAGCACCAACGTGGTGCTTTGACCGTACGTTCTCAGCATCGCCCGAGTCCGTGTCTTTGCATGTTGTATTTATATCACAGAAGGGGGCTGGATGGGCTCTCCAGAGGTCGCAGCTAGTGCAGCCCTCTGCCTGAGGCAGGACCAGCCCTGTCCAAACCATCCTCTACAATCCATCATCTAAAACTCTTCGTAAAGCTGCCGTCAACTGACACAACACAAGCCATCACACCCGAACCTGCCACAGGCAACCAGCAAAGTCTGGACTATCCCCATAGTAGAACATAGGCTTTGCTACACCTATATTGTCCCAGCTGGTGGCTGTTCAACCCCTTGAACCCCTCCAGTGATGGAGAGTCTACAACATCCCTGGGTATGTATTCCTTGCCTCCCTGCTCTAACAGGGAAGAAGTCTTTCCCAAGATCCAACTGCTTCACCACCACTTCAAGCCACTGATCTGCCTCCTGCAAATAATACCAGTGCTATCACCCCCACTATATTGATGGAGAAACCAAGGCATGGAAACCATTAACAGTGTAAATCTGGGAATGCACCTCAGGTGTCCCGACTCCCGGTCATCCACAGCGTGGGCTTCCAGGTCCAATAATAACCAATGCAGCAAGAGACAAAAAAATCTCAGGATTTTTGCAAGTCCAACACACCATTTTGGAAAGTTTGGGGCTGGCTGCACTGTTAACCCAGCACCTTTCCCCCAGGATCAGCTGCTCATAAGAATCAGGACTCTGTGTTGCTGGGAAGATGCTCACAATGGAAAAAAAACCTCCAAACTTACTGAAGCTAACAGTGAGGCAGAAAGAAATAGGCCCGACTGTCATCCCCTCCAAAATCAGCCCAGCTCTTGAGATGTCCAACAGACAATTCAGAAATGGATTGATTCCCCCCCATCCAAGTACACTAATCATCTCATGTCCTTTTGTCCCCAGTCTCTTCTGTTTGTTGCAGGGAATAATAATAATTAATAATAATTCATTACAATGCCATACGACTCCATGAAAGTCCTTGAATCCTCCCGAGCTACTGAAGATTTCACTCCAGTCATTAGCACAGAAACTAAGCAGGTTTTAAATCAACCCTGTACCCAATAAATACAGACTTCATAATGTTTCCAACAGCAATTTGAGGCTGCTTTACAGCCATTAGCACGTCTGGGTTTCTAAATGAATTGTAGTGCGGAATGGACATTTACTTCCCATAATGTTGCCGCAGGTTTTAACGCAGTCATTTCACCACTCATTTATTCCTGGAAGACAGCAGACAGGCAGGACTGATACGTACAAAGTTTCCCGACTCTAAGGCAGGGAGATCAGCAATGCTGGAAGCACGTGGGATATCTTTCCCCTCCCAAAAAAATTTGCAAAGACCAAGATCAAATCAGACCCTAAGCATCATCTCCGGTCACGGGCTGCTTAATATTCAAACTCCTGCTTCCAACAGCTGGAGCTGAGCATCTCTGTCAGGGGAAAAAACACCCAATTTTAATTTAAAAAATGGCCAGAGAAGGAGAAAAATCTATTGCCATCCTCACTGGTCAGCTGCCCTGAGTGTTAACGATTTACTTCTTGCCAGTCCAGGTGATCGTCTAGCCTCATCTCTCGTTAGCAGGTGTCACAGCTTCATCTCTGCACCCGAAAACCTTCTGCATCCATAGAACCGCAGACAAACAAGGCTGGAGGCCATAATTGCCATGGCAGCCTCTGATCTAACGGCCCCGTGCCCCAGCCTTTCCTGGGTGAGCTAATCCGGAGTCCTTTGCTGAGACATATTTTCTGGTCTCTTTGATACTCCAACCCCACAGCCCTTCTCTGAACCCATCTCTACTTTCCAGGACAGGATGCGTCACAGTGCTCTGGGAACCAGACCCTGGTAGATTAATTAATGAAATGGATAAGAGGGGCCAAGACTGGGAGAGGAAACTGAGGCACAGAAGGGATGTGGCTAGAGTCATGGTCAAGCACATAGAACCAGACCCTGGTAGCTTAATGACATGGATAAGAGGGGCCAAGAGTGGAAGGGGAAACTGAGGCATGGAGGGATGGGGCCAGAATCACAGTCCCAAATACAGGGGCCCTGAATGGCCTCCCTGGGACACCATACCAGGTTGGAGGGGGAGCAGCTGGGATCACACCTGGATTCGGGGCCTCTCAGGTTTGGCAGCAGCCCTTGGGCAAGTCCCATGCGCGGAGCCCCAAGAGACCCTACAATAACAAGTCATTGCATGCAACTAGGCATTTCCCAGAGCCCCTGCAACAAGCAATGCCTCGGGCAGGAACAAGCCAACAAGCATCTCTAACAGGCAGCAATGGAAGCAGAACATGCCCCATGGGCCATCTCCTTCCCTCCTCCCCAGGCTTCCTGCCCTGTTCCTACCAGGTAGGATGCTGAAGCCTCCTGCCCTTTCTGTGGCTCTCCGCATCTCATGTGGCCCTTCAGTTTGGCTTCCTGCTGCATGCACATGGATGAGTGTCTACATTGCTCGGTGCAACCCAGAACAACACCAAAGCGGGGTTCTCTTGGGACCACGGCGCCAACTGTCCCCAGCTGGGCCTGGGCACAGCACAAGATTAACCGTCCCGTAGCAAAGCCGTGGGCTCACAACAACCCAAAAGCACCCAGCACTTTTGCCCCTACAGCTGGGCTCCTGGAAGGGCTGCAGGGGAGGGAGGAGATCTCAGGTCTGGCTGAATTTTCATAGCAACCTCAGGTGCAGCAGTCCCTGGAAAGGAGCCACAGAGCTGAGTTGACCCCTGCACTGGGTACAGAGGGCTTTGGTGCCATCAACAGGAAAGCTCCTAGGCTGGGATCCCCAGAATGCACCCCCCCACCCATTTCAAAGGGATTTAGGCACCTGGCACCCTGGGGGTGTCTGGCCCCTTCTGGATCAAACCCAAAGCAAAGGCTGGTCCATCCATGATGGGGCCTCTGCACCCTTCTCCAGCAGAGGGGATCTTTATTCAGCCCCCCAAAATCAAGAGATCAGGGTTAAAAGTAATGAGATTGTTTTCTTGAGCAAAAACTCTGGGGCGTTCTGATTTGTCTGCTGGGGCTGCAGCTGTTCGGGTCCACGCTTTCAGGCTTTTCTCTGCAACGCAGAGGGTGAAAAATTGACTCTTTTTAAAAATAAAAGCACTGCAGGGAGCAGACAAGGTTCTTTGGGTAAATGTGA